CCCCCCCCCCCTTCCCTCCCAAAAAAAAAAAAAGAAAGAAGTCAGCCCTAAAGGCTGCTACTGTAATTCCGAAAGTAACGAGGGTCGTGTAGGATATTCAAATAAGCGGCGTGTTCGCTACTTTTACATTACTGCATGATTTGTCCCTGGAACGAGGCTTTTTTTCTATTGACAGAACTTTTTTTGTGTGTGTGATACACGGTTAGTTTATTTATAGATATATTAGAATTTAACTTTCGCGCATGTATCTTTTGTGACTGATGATGTTCTTGGGTCAGAGTCTGTTTATGTACACGTAGTTATCTACTGGTTATAGATACCGAAGCACGCAACCTCGTCCAGCATGCGTCACTCGTTTCTAATAATATGTTTGATTATAGTGATTTAGTTAGTAGCCGCACGAGTAAGATTTTGAGTGTTTTGTTAATTAGTGATGTAATAGATTACCTTCAAGAAATCCGTTTCGTTCCATGGGAAACGATTTAACAATTTAACAAGACATGGTGCTTGCTGAGTTACTGAATTTATGTTACCAAATTTTAATCTTAGTTAAAAGATTTCAGTGTCCAAATTGAGATCATTTGCAGTTTTAGGTTAGCCCATATGTATCTTGTCATGGTTTTTTGTTTCCTCACTCATTTTGTTCAGGAGTTTAAGTTTGTTACAGTAGCTGCAAGGTGGTCATGTTTGCATGGGTTCGTCAGTACTGACCTTGTTTAGGCCTTCCACTGCAGTTCCTGTTTTTGCGAAAGTTTTTAAAAGTGCGAGTGTTCATCTCGTTGTGTCAAGTGCAAGTCACAAGTGGGAATCAGCCAATAAATATTAGATTCCTGAAACCTCTCGCAACGTGTTGCCGAGCGCCCAATACGGGAGCGTTTCCGTATTCATATCACCAAGGTCATTGCGCAATTTACGTCAATCTCTTTTTTTTTAAAACTAAACCGTTCACATGGTGTGCAACAAAATATAGATTTGTATGTAATTACCTTGTAATACGACCGCTAAAAGGAGTAGTGTGCATTGTCTACCTTTAAGGATATCTCTTAAGCACTCTTTAGATGTCCTCTGGTCAATCTGTAATGAATCGCAAGTAAAATAGAGGTAGATTCGCCACCTCAACCACAAAGTAACCACAAAGCCTGTTTTTTGGCCCATAGAGATGTTTATTTCTTTCGCTTCGAAGAAACGAGAACCTGTCAGTTGACCTGTCGGATCAAGCAGCAAATCTTTGGATAAAGTAAAATAAATATCGTTAATCTGTTAAGAATATCCTTCCATTGTTTATATAAGTGCACTTGTATCCAATATCGAGCCTCTAATGAATGTGGTTTAAAATACTTGTTGCACAATACAGCTCTATTCGCGAAATTCCCACTATTGTTAAGCTACTTAATTTGTTGCGTCAATAATGAAGTACATGTCCTTATAGGTTTTCACAACACTGGGTAGGAAGATGAGCCGTTCTTCAAGAATGTGATATATACATGTCATCTGTTTTAAGACTTGTTAGTAGCTCCCAGGAATGATCTGGTTCAGTTGGATAACTGCGAAAACTGAATTATATTGATATACACATATAATCAACTGCAACTACGATATCTCAGTCTCTTCAAGACCTTCCAAGCTAGAACTGCCGAAGGTAAGCTTTTAATTATTATTGAATCAGATCTTTTCCGCTAAAAGTGGTATCGTTGATCCATTTTTCACGAGGGAAGTCTATAATATCTTACACCATCTTTCTCATTATTATTTATCAGATACTTAAACCTTATCTAAAAGAAGTCATCATTATATAGGAGATTATATGATGGATCGAAATTAGAGTTAGGATCTCTTTCAGAAAAACCTTTTATAGGAAACTTTCGGTACTGAAGGATTGACGATATATATATAATATCTTCCACTAAAATCAACAACTGTCATACAGAACATGATGTTGAAATAATCACGATAATTAAGTCATAATTATAGAAAAAAATGTATCTAAAAGAATCTTCTAAAATTTTTGAAAGAAAAATCTAGCCTGACTGTGCTTAGTAACAATTGTCCATTATTAATATCTCACGGTTTTTTCTTAAGACTGACGCTAACTCATATGTCTATCACGAAAATGAAACAGTTCTAGATTGCCTGCAAAATGGAATGGAACACAATCCGAAAGGTTTGGTATATGATGGCTATTTTCTACATGTCTTGGCTTGAAGTTACTTCGCAGGGACAAGGTAATTTATTCAATATCATAATTATAGCACTGTTGTGATTTAAGGTGGCTCAAAACAGTTTCTAGCACTTAGATTGTGATGGGTCGTTTATAACTACTCTTTATCACTCGATGCTACAATCATGGTTTAAAAAAAAACTGCCCAATCATTGGTGAACACGTTGTTATTATTTTCGTGACACAATAGGTTACCATAGCAACAGTATGACCTGCTTAAAAAAACCTTAATTTCAGCTTTAGTGGCTTATAATTCGAAAACGGCACGATGAATTTTTTTTTTTTTTTTAATATCAAATATTACTAAGCATGATAAGATGCAACTTTTGGCAAAGTTTCAAAGATATTTGTACATAGGGCTCAGAGCCACCTTAAATTTTCAAAAAATGGTGTCACAAAAATGGTAACAACGTGTTCATTAATGATTCGGCACTTTTTTTGATACCATGATTGTAGCATCAAGTGATAAAGAGTGGTTATAATGACCAATCCAAATATAACTGCAGAAAAACACGGCAAGTACGCACTCCTTATTGGCTGACCCTCGTAAAAGCGAACTCATGCTGAATTAGCCTTTTAGAAACCGTCGGAGGAGGAGCACTGTGGAGAGAATTGAGGGGGATAAGAAGATTCTTATGGTTAATAAAGCATTAAATATTTGCTGCTGAGTATTGCCTCCAGCCAAATGATTATGAATTCAAATTCACAAATCAAAACTAAATTGATTAGACCCATAAAAAGGGACGCTGCTCCTATTCGAAGAAAAGAGGAAATAGAAATGTCATGTTTTGTTGTGTTTTCTCAAAGAACGAACGAAAAGCTTGCTTAAAAAGTATAACAAACAAAGTTGGTGATCCTCTGACAGCTCCTTGTAAAACCTTGGAGAAAAAGGCTTGTGGCAACCGTTTCTAGGTAAATAAGAATATCGACAAAAGTGTTGTTAACTCATGGCATACATATTTTATCGTAAAAATAGAACCAGAACCCACAGTAAGGACCTCTGCGATATTGCTTTGGTCCAGCGCTGCGAACACGGAGACCTTTCTTGGCCATTTTAGAACGCCGCTATGAAAACGCATGGCTAACAATTCCCTGAAATTCTCTGCCGATTTCTTTGCAAACCAAAAAAAGTGCAACGGACACGGTCAAAAGGCCAATCCTCCCTGATTCAAAACGTGTAAACATCGTCCTTGGCTCTTCTAGCGGCAGCAAGTCTAGTTTTAGTCAAGGAACAGTTGCCAAAGGCTTTCAATTTAATTTGACCCTTCAGCATTTTCACTGGCATAGTTGTAAGTCAAGGGCTCGGTTTGAATTTAAGATTTTTTCTCTTCTGAATATACACAGCTTAGGTGTAGCTGACATACGCCAAACTACCTTGATCCAAAATGCACTACTGGCCCACTAATATTATACATATTACAAAGGACTCCACTGGCTAGGAGTCAATTTGGGAATATTGCGAACTCGTATTTAGTGACTTCATTGCACAGCAGACTGTGTTAATTCTTGACTATTTTCTTTTTTTTACTATTCTTTTATATAATAACGCTGTTAAAGTGCCAATCACAAATAACTATAATTATACTTTAGGCTTAAAATTTGTAAAGAGTGTGTTTAAACGAGCTGTTATTAATTTATGTATTCGGCTTACGTGTACTACTTGAGCTTTCAAAAAAAAAAAAATCATTAAGTCATTTCTAGAATTATCAACTCCAACCTAATTTTATCAAATAAATCTACGCGGGCTCTTGTATGCTCTGCGGACCTATATTTTCCTGTTTTATGGAATTCTTCAACGTTCTTCAAAAATCTTTCATTTATCCGAATCCACCAATTCCTCTTGTTGACTCGCCTACTTTTTTCTACACCATTCCCATTATCCATGTACTGGCTCGGAGGAGCCTTTGATTTATTCTCAAACAGTATAGAACTGAATTAGAGATGATTTCCAATGAAGAAGAGAAAAAGACCTGTATTGCCTTGGTGTCCCTGATTCAATATGGTTGCCATGGCGTCATGCTCTAGGGATAAGGGCATTTTAGGAGTACAGTCAAAACTTCCGCGATTGTAACCGAAAAAGCACATTGGAGTAAACTTCTTGGAAGGTCACAGCAAAACGGTCTATATAAGCACATTTGACGTTAGTAGTTTCCAAGTGCGCATTTTAGAAGTGTAAACATCATATTACTCGAAAATTATATAGCTACGTACATACATAGTCGGACTGGAAGCTTGAAATAAGATGACGACGACTTGAAATGATAGAACATTTAGGAATCACTTTCTTGGGAAGCTGGCATATTTAGCCTTGAGTCATCGCCAAACAAGAAAAAAAAAACAGCAATGATTTCAAAATAAGCCGGTGACATCCGCTATCTACCAATATTATTAATAACGCAATATTGCTTCCAGTACACTCTTTTTTCCTAAGAAGATATTTTATAAGAATATAGACGCTTAGATTTACAAAATTTTATGAATGTTTCAGGAATAAACCGCGAGGCTGAAATTTTGAAAAGGATATAATTTCGTGTTGAAAATGTGTAAATACAATACAACGACATGTTTTTAACTAAACCGTACAAAGTTCTTCCTTTCTGTAAACGGCGAAACTTGCCAAAAAGCAACAAAAGCAACACTAGCCGTATGTTCGAGGCTAATAAAATTAATTTTCTGCAAGAGGTTATGTGCATCATATTATAAGCTTTATTGCCTGCAGTCTGGCTCCAAAATTACTTTTTAAAACACCATAAGACACTAAACTCGGCATTCGAAAACAGAAATGTCATACGCTATGATCTAAAAATATTGCCAAGAATATTTTCAGCCTAAGATCAGCAGAAAAATAAGAATATTCAGCCTCGGCCGGAAAAACAATATCGTTATATGAAAAAAAGTGTATTTTGAGTGCAAAATCAGCATGTATATTTTCCTGACGTGTCCCTGTAGATTTCTTATAAATGTGTCATACACTAATTTTTCATAGTTTCTCAATATGAAGGCGAGTTCCTGTTGCTGTTTATCTCGTTAATTATTGTGACCGTGATGGTTGATGTATGTTAGCCTTCAGCCTAGCTCGATATTATTTGCGGTCACGCAAGAAGTAAATTGATTAATTTCATCGTGTAACGAAAACCGCGAAAGGATCACCCAACGAAGGTAAATTAAAGAAAATAATATTGTTCAACTTTTAAGGCATCAGTTTAAAAGTTCCGCATCCACATTACGTCGAAGGAATTTAAACACGCAACAATCGATCACCGGTCATTTTGGATTTGTGTTTGTGTAAAACTCGGTCTGGGAAATCACATGATTATCGTGACGCCATCATTTTCGAAAAAGCTCCGTTTTCAAGTGAAAATATTTTTTCGTCCACACGAAAACGAAAAGCCGGCGATTTCAGATTCCTCCGGTTTAAAGAGCGTTTTCGAAAAGCTCTTTTTTTTTTGACGGATTAGTGTGGACGGTAGGACTAACAATAGAGACAAAGCCTCGTTTTCGTAGACATCATTTTTCCTGACGTGTCCCTTTAGATTTCCTAGACATGTATCATGAATTAATTTTTAACAGTTTTTGTTTTTCAATATGAAGGCGAATTCCTATTTCTGATCGTCTCTTTAATTATTGTGACCTTAATGCGTGATGTGTATTAGCCTTCAACCTCGATATTATTCGCCTTCACGCATGAAACCAAGTGTAATAATTTCCGCATGTAACGAAAACCGCAAAAGGGTCACCCAAGGATAATAAATTAAGGACTATGATGTTAACTTTTAAGGCATCAATTCATCAAACGTAGCTTTATTGCAGTTAATAGTATTTACTAGCGTTGGACTAGTATCCCATCCAGGGGAAGTAGAAATAGCCCTACTCGCTTCTTCTTTTTTTGCTATAGAAACCTGGATAAGCTTCGGCCTGATGAGCCACTTGTCTCGCATGCAGAATTTACCTTACCTTACAAGTTGTAGGAGATTGGGAAATAAATAAAATTCACGAAACATCATTCACAAAACAATTCAATGACCATGAGATTCCAAGAAAAAAAATTTGAATCCAAGAGTTTGACAAAGCAGGGATGTTTTAAGGGTGTAACTTGTAGTACAATCGCGTTTCTTAATTTTTCAATCTGTTATATTTATTAACAAGGTTCCGTTTCTGTAACCTCCCTTGGTTGCTACAAAGACAGAGTCACGAAACCAAGTCAAAGCATATTTTCCACCGTGTTTTACCAAGTCAATATCGTGAGATGGTGGCCAAACAGTAACCATATTATACACGCGTGTGCTGCGGCAGCTGTTGCTAGGGGATACCGAATCTTCTCAATCCAGGACTTCGGGGACTGTCGCTGGGGTCCGAACGCTGAACAAGACTATGCCAAATATGGTCATGGTTACTATTGTTATCAAGGACTTGGGTGGATCGGTTCTGGTAGCGTCTACAGAGTTCAAAATTTAGCTCCAGGTTAGTGGTTGTGTCATGATATCTGCAGCTATCCATGCTTTGTAATAACATTGGGTCATTATAATAGTTTTCCTGATTTGTTCATGTTTAGTTAACGGACAGTGGACAAATTGGTCTCGGTGGAGTTCATGTAGTGCAACTTGCAATGGTGGAACTCGATCACGCAGGCGCAGCTGTGCCAATCCTCTTCCATCCAATGGTGGTACATATTGTCGCGGAATAAGCTCGGAAACACAGCTTTGTAACAGAAATCGCTGCCAAATAGCAGGTATGGGTTGACGTGGTTACGGGTTTTTAAATGGAAACAAAATATACCATAATTTTAGTCGACGGTCGCGCGTTAGAGATAAGTATAGGTAATCATATGAATGCGGTTGCAATTAGGGATTTACACTACGAGTAGTATTTGAAAATTCTCTGAAAATTGTACGAGCCTTCAGGCCAGAGCAACTTGAAGAATTTTCAAATATCACGAGTCGCGGTAATCCTTATTGCTCGGGCTTTCATAAGATTGTTCTTTTATTACATGACTGAGAAAATTGGGAAAGCGCGCGCGTTAATTTGGACTGCAGTGCAAATTAAGAAACACGATAAACAGGCCTGCTCTCAGCAAGTCACAATGAAGTAATTTTCGCAGTCACATCATAACGTCTGCTAAGAAAGCGTCAATCATCCATATCGATGTATGACTTTCGATCTCTCTAGTATTCCATCACGGTTTGTTCCCCACGGTTTGAAGTGCCTGTTTGAATAATTATTTGAAGTATGGCAGTGCGAGAAATGTCATACCTAGGATTCAACACATGTACGGAAACGGACTTTAGTATCCCGGGTCGAGTTGTTCATGATCAAAGCCCGATTAAGCTAACTTAGGATAGGTGAGAATTCAGATTTCAGTTTTGGAACTTTTCGGTGAGGTTTTCTGTTTATATTGTTTTTCCTTTAGTTTCGAGTTTGAATAATCTCAAAGTATATAAAGCAAAAGCAGGGAAGGACATAATGTAAAATAAAAAGTAATACTTCGGTTGACTTTTGATCCTGGGTTAACACTAACCCGCCCCTGGAGTAGTGCTGTGCTGTTTTGGTTTTCCCATTTTTATCTGTATATTTAATTTTGTTTGTTATCGGTGGCAGGAGTCTGGTCATCTTGGTCTCCATGGGGATCTTGTAGCAGGTCATGTGGTGGAGGGACACGATCGCGCGTGCGTAGTTGCACCAATCATTTACAATTCAGCGCCAGTGCCGTTTGCCAGGGTCCACGGTCTCGAACCCAGAGATGTAATACCAATAGTTGTCCAAGTAAGGATGATAGAATATAATGAAACTGCCTTTATGTTCCGTTATGAAATGTTTTAACACTTGTTCAAGAATAAGGAAGTAGTTTTATTAATGATAATCCATTAACTTTGTTTCGTTAATTTGAGTTTTGTTTTGTTTTGTTTGTTTGTTTGTTTGTTTTTGTTTTCATCTTCTATGAAGAACTTTATCGCTTTGAAAAAGTTTTTAGTACACGAAATAAGACAGTTTTCTATGTCTATGAATGACTTATTAAGATTTGCATTGGTCAAGTTAACATTCGTCATCTATGAGCTAAGTAGGCACTAGTACAAGAAACGATAACCATACCATTTTAGAGGAAAACTGCATACACAGTACACAGATCATGTTATTTCCACACTCGCAATGGCGATTAGTCTGTCAGGTGATGTTGTGGTATAGGATCACAGACACGAACCAGAACATGCAGCAATCCTTTTCCTAGAAACAGTGGAGCCAACTTCCCTGGTCCAAATTCTTAGACCCGAAAATGTTGTCCTAATGATTGTCCTGGCTTGTTGAATGGTATGTTATTTACAGCTAGCTGCTTGCCCTATTGAACATTTCATTGGACGTAATCATTAAATTACTAACAAGATTCCTGAATGTTACATACGCAGCTAGGAATTAAGCTTCAGAAACAACTCTAACCCTCTACAGAAACACAGACCGAGCTGTGTCAACATAAACCTGAGCGTATTTTTTCAATCTTGAGTAATGTCACGG